CAGTAAATGGCTATAACTTGAAGTACTATCAGAGCTTTCCATGCAAATGTGCTCTCTCTTCATTTTCTATTTGAATCATTTTTACTTATGTTGATTAAAGAGACTCAAATACGTACTGGCTTATCTGGTAAAAATCTTCTTGCTTTTTGCTAACCTTTCTTTGCTACTAAAGTGGAAAAGATCTCAGGTTCACAATCTTTTGCAAGTAGTACTACTGTCTTAGTTGGGTTCTCCCCTAAGCCCCAGGAAGCAGATCTTAAGGAGAGGACTAAATCCAGAGACTTCACTTAGCAAATGCAAGTGCACTGGCAGGGAAATGACAACACAAGAAAAGGAGTAAGAGACAGTCAATGGAGCTGTGTTACTCTGTCCCTGAATGTATTCGACAAGGAAGTTCTGGGAGACGACGCAAAAATATACACTTCAAAATTATTCCAGCTAAGTGAGGAGGAAACTGGGGTACAGGTTATGGGTTAGGGCCATTCATGGGCAGACATGGATTCCTAGGTACCTGTACCCCACTGTGCTTGTGCAAAAAGGGGACTCCACCAGACTGACAGAAGCCATCCAAAATTCATTCAAGTGTATCATCAAAAGTTAGAATGTGTAATAGAGAAAGGCAAGGGATCTCCAGGAAAATGGGAGTAACACCAACATGACTTCACTTCTCTGACATAATACACTCTCTTGTGTGCACTGACTTTGTTTTTATAGTTGTTTCTTCTTTCACTTACATTTTTGTTTATAAAATAAATCTGTTTCAGAAAATCAATCAATCTAAAGGAAATTCAATGCAGAGAATGCTCTAGATGGCATGAGAAGGTGGCAAAAATCACTAAAAAGTAGTACTCATATGACTGAACAAGATCATTGGAACAGTAGTATAAAGTAAGGAGTATCTTTTTTTCTGTAAAGAGTCATTTGGTTTTTACAGCACAAGTTCACTGTTTCAGATACTCACCTCTGCTATTATAGTGTGAAAAGATCCCAGACAATTCATAAATGAATGAGTATCGCTGTGTTCTGAAAAACGCTATTTATGGACATTGACATTTGAGTATCATGCAATTTTCATCTGTCATGAAATATTCTCCTTTTGATTTTTTCCCAGTAATTGCAAATATGACAGCTATTTCTGGCTCATAGGCCATACAGAAACAGGCACTGGGCCAGAGAGTTTGCTAGCCCCTGATTCAAAACACAGCCTCGAAATTTGTTCTGGTGCTATCAATTACCAGTATGATCTTGGGAAAATTAACTTTTCTTAGCCTCAGAAGCCTCATCTGCATAAGGAGATGGTTAATGCAAAAAGACACATGAAAATAAAATGAATAATTACAAAGCAGGTTCCAGTGAGCCTTCGCTAAGCAATTAACCTGCTGGTTTTTTTTTTTTAAAGATTTATTTTTTATTAATTTTTTATTGGAAAGGCGGATAGACAGAGAGGAGAGACAGAGAGGAAGATCTTCCGTCTGATGATTCACTCCCCAAGTGAGCGCAACGGGCCGATACTATGCCGATCCGAAGCCAGGAGCCTCTTCCGGGTCTCCCACGTGGGTGCAGGTTCCCAAAGCTTTGGGCCGTCCTCGACTGCTTTCCCAGGCCACAGGCAGGGAGCTGGAAGGGAAGCGGGGCTGCCGGGATTAGAACCGGCGCCCATATGGGATCCCGGGGCGTGCAAGGCGAGGACCTTTAACTACTTGCGCCACCACGCCGGGCCCAACCTGCTGTTTTAATAAGGTAGTCAGTCTTTAGCTTGTCAGGAACTAGCTGTTGACCACTATAAACTTCCTACTCTACATTTCTAAAAAGGTAGCCTCCTATCTGAGAGTCCATATCCCCTACTTCGCAATATGGTGAAGAAACCACTCCTCTTTCCCATAAGTTATACCCCTAGAAGTTAAACCTGAGAATATCTTAAAGATCTTCTTGTTACTGATTTCAGAGACTGAAGTTGGTTATTGGTCAACTCAAGCTTTTTTGATGCCTCTAAAGTAAGTCTTTAAAATTAGCATTTCAAAACTTCTAGAATTGTGCTAGTGACTGGTAGTTCTCCAACTTCAGTATGCCTAAAAATTATTTGCAAACCTGCAGCAGATTCAAGGATCTCACTCAAATAATTTCTTAGTTAATAGGTCCACAAATATTCAGTGATTCTAATACAGATAATTCATGGAGAGCAGTTAAGGAACTACTTCAAGGATAGAGTGCAATCCTCCCAAGCAAACACAATCTTGTGAAATTTTCTGTAATAGTTTTCTCTCGTTTGTTTAAAATGCCTCATTGGCTGAGAGGACTTGATTACAGTATTTCTTGTGCATATCTGAACAATGATCTCTGCAGGCATATCTACCTCTTCCATCCTTATTTCTATTCATTTTGAATTTCCTGAATTAGAAACAGTTTTTACAGAATTTTCCACTTCAGGTATCAACTGCTAATTAGCATATACAATTAAACTTGTCAATGTGATCTCAGCCTGTAGACACAAGTACTTGAGTCAAATTCTCAACTCTCCTAGACTAAAATATTGCCTCCCAAAAGGATACTTCCATTATTTCTTATCAATAGTTCCTAAAGTAACCTCAAAGGAATAAGATTATACTAACCCACAGATTTTTAGCTGGACCCATTTAATTCAGAAGAGAATACTCCCAAGAAAAAAGTGAAATGGTATTAAATATCACACGCTTCACAAGCATTGCCTCATTTCACCATCACGCTACACCACAAAGGAGTACTACAACTATCCCATGTCACAAACAAAGGAAACTGAAGCACACAAAGCAAGAGTTATCCACGGTAGCTCTGAGAATCACACTTTTAACTTCTAAACTACTTCATAAAGATCAAGAGCTTCAGTATTTCAATTCCAGATAAATTTATTTACTAATTCTTACCTCCTCAAAACCTCCAGAGGGACCTGGCATGGTAGCCTAGTGGCAAGCACAGGAATCCTGTGTGGGAACCGGTTCTCATCCTGACTGCCCCACTTTCCATCCAGCTCCCTCTTGTGGCCTGGGAAAGCAGTTGAGGATGGCCCAAAGCCTTGGGACCCTGCACCCACGTGGGAGACTCAGTAGAGATTCCTGGCTTCAGATAGGCTCAACTCTGGCAGTTGCGGCACTTGGGGAGTGAATCATCAGACGGAAGATCTTCCTCTCTGTCTCTCCTCCTCTCTGTATATCTGACTTTGCAATAAAGATACATAAATCCAAAAAAAAACCTCCAGAATATCTGCTGGCACATGAACAAACAGGTAAGTTGTTAACAAAGGCCCAATTTTGCTCTCGGCATGACTTAACTGCAGTCCCTCAATTACCAGCTGTCCAATGTGCATAGCATTCCAGCCCACTTGTCTTACAAATCTGCTGCTACTCAAGAAGTCTGAATAAGATAAAATATGTGAAAGTTCTCTTACACTGTAAAAGTTATCTGAAATTTTAACTCCCCAGGCTGTCATTACTACACATTATTTTAAAATTTTGAGATGGAAGAGAAAGAGTTTTATTTTTATGGAGTTAGGTGCGTCAAAATCAAGTCTTCCAGAGATCTGGGATAGGCTGAAAAGGAAACAAATCCTTTACAACTCTGGAGAGACATAAATATTACTTATAGTTGGAAGATGGACTATTTTGGGGAACTTGCTGTATAGGCAGCTTGAGGATCAGATGATCTGAACTCTGGTCACTGCCCTGAATTCACCAGAATTTCAATGAGTCTTTTGGTTCCCCCCCCCCCCCCCGCAAAAAAACACTAGGTTGTGTGATGGTTAACAAAGAGATTTGGGGACTGGCTCTGTGGCCTAGTAGATTAAGTTGCCAGTGCCAGCAGCTTCTATGGGCACTTATTCAAATCCCAATTGTTCCACTTCCCATTTAGCTCTCTGCTAATTTCATCCTCTGCACCCACATGGTAGACCTAGTTGAAATTGCTGGCTCCTGGCTTCAGCCAGTCCAACTCCTGTGAACCAGGAAATGAGAGATTTCCTTCTCTCTTTCTCTCTCAATCTCTGCCTCTGTCCCTTATTCTCTGCAACTCTGCCTTTCAGATAAATAAATACGGAAACAGTATGAAGGAAGGAAAGAAAGGAGAGAGCGAAGAAGGGAGGGAGGAAGGGAGAGAAGGAGGGAAGGAAAGAAGGAAGGATGGATGGAGAGAAAGAAAGGCAGAAAGAGAAAGGGGCGAAGGGAGGGAGAGAAGAAGTAGCAGAGTCAGATTTGTGGAGTTAGATCTCACTCCACCCCCACTTCAATGAGCTGGGACAAGCCACGTCACTCGTCTGGGTTTCAGTTATCCCATTATAAAAATGAGAATAAGAAATACAACTTCTTTTGCAATTATCCAAAAATGCACTGGTGAATAAATAAGTATAAATATTATAACTATAATAAAATGTTAGTTTTAGAAAAGATTTGGTGAACACATAGGTTGTAACTTTCTCTTAAATAAGCAATTCCCTAACAAAAAAAAAGTTGGAAATAAAGCAGAAAAACCAATGGCAGTGATGAGATAGAGAGCTTTAAGCAGAATTCAAAACAAGTATTCATCATGCATTAGCAATGACTGCTTACTGCACAGGTAGGAGATTGGACAAGATGATGATGGGCCCCTCCAATTCATAACAATTCGTGAATCACAGCTGTACTAGGTGAGCCAGAGTCACAACAACCATGAGCATAATGAAAATCCACATGACACAGAAGCCAGAGTACAGAAATCAGCCAGAATGTTCCTTGCAGAGATGTCAGAATCCTGGCGCTATGCACACATGGAAGGACTAGGATTCTGTGCTGGAAATTCATAATTTGGGGGGTGGGGGTGGGGAGTGAGGTTAGGCAGGTCAACCTTACTGCATGCCACATTAATGTATTTCTCCACCAAACATCACTTTATGATAAGAAAAAGAATGCCCTTGGACTCAAACCTCAGTTCAAATCCTATCTTCACTGCACTTGTTGGGCAATACTAGCAAGCATCTATTCAAGTATCCATTAGACCCTCTGCCACTGGGAATAGCTACCACAACCACAAGGTAAGTCCATGGCAACTGTTTTTATGTTATGTTCTTTTGGCCACAAAGGATTGCACCAAGCAGATTCTTTTTCTCAAAAACTCCAAGTGAGAGACACATTCTCTCAGAAATATGTCGCATTAATGGCTCAGCAAAGGGGAAATAGTATTGATCCCCTGAAACTGACTTCTGTGGATATCATCTATTCACATCTGTAAGAAAAACCCCATTATTATCCTAAAAGACTCTAAGATGTTTGTAAAGAAGCATTCACTTGCTCTTTTTATAACCCCCCAAAAATATTAATACAATCAATTTTTTAACTAGCAAAAAAAAAAATGTTCTTTAAAACATTTCTATACTTAGGTTTCCTCTTCTGTAATAAAATGAAAATTAATCTCCAGCAAACATTTTAAAAAGATCAGGCACAGAAAATGACACAGCATACAATAAACACTCAATGGTGTTGTTTAAACAGAAACTGAGTTGCAGAATAATGAAATTTCACTGAACTAGTATTTGGTAGCACTATGCTTAAATTAAGGATGCTGATAGTCAAGAAAACAGAAGGAGTCGACTGAACTTGAATTTTTGTTTTAAAAGGTGGTTTCTTATTGAGATTTCAAAAGTTAATCAGTTGAAGATCCATATGTAGATGGATTATTATTGGATTTCTCCCATTGTGGTAATATGAATCTCTGTAAGAAAGAAGTACAAAGCAACATCATGGAAACAAAAGCTGGATAAACAGATAATTTATCTTTCTAATATCAGAAATAACTAAGAATTTATCTGTCAGTAATAAGATATTAAATGACATTTGATTAGGATTATACTGTGAGTAATGAGGAACTGTGTGATCCAAGTTAAGGTAGGAGTGGGAAAGGGTGGAGAGAACACAAAAAAACACAAGATCAGGAGAATCTGACCTAGAAGTATAAATTTTGGAGGTGGAAGTCTTTCTGAAATTTAAAATGACACAGCAAGTGTAGATGCTTAGTGACAGGTGTCAATTTATCCCTAGAAGTTACTATTCTTCCATTTTGCTCTATTTTTTGACCCTCATCAATCCAAATGTTTATCTTAGAAATAAGATTTTTAAAAGGTGCATTCAAAATTAAAGCTATCATATTTCTATCAATTTTCTCTTCCCTTTGATTGCTTCATGTTGTTTGCTATTATCCTTTTATGCTCTCTATACAGTAAAAAGTGGTAAACATTTGAACAGAGGAAAATGAAGACAATGTACATGGCTACCATACAGGCCTATCAATAGTGCTAGCCTTAAGCACATGTAAATCAGAATAGAAATGTCTACTATCACAACTACTAATAAACTCAAATATCCAAGCATTAAAAATATCGTTAAAATTTTTCAAGTGGCTGTTTTAAGCTTTATTTCAGCTGTGTAGATCTTTTAGTTCAGTGGTTTTGAAAATATTGGCACTTAGACCAATAACGTCAGCAATCACATGACTTACTAAAAATGAAAGATCTTATTCCCCAACCCAAATGCAATGAGTCAGAAAATGTGAGAACAGGAATCACTGATCTGTATTTTGATATGCCCTATAGAATAGTGTGGATTGCTCAAATTTGTCATTCGACTGATAAGGCTTGCAAAGCTTTGCTCTACCATTAATTCACTGACAACTAGCAAACCTATAATTTGTTGTCACAAAGTATTAAGTAAAATAGCCAACCTTTCTAGACTTTCTTGGGATTTTCAAATTTAAAAAAAGATTAAAATGCTATATTTTTCCACTGAAAAAATATTATTTTTCATATTATTTCCACTGAACTCAATTTACAATGCCACACTCTCTAGTTCCTCTCTTCAAGGAAGACTTGGTTCTACAATTTGGCAGGAGGATGCTGGTGTCTTTTCCACCTTGCAACACCAAGCTCTCACTCATTAAAAGTCTGTCTATGGGTTCAAGGCATGGATTCCGGAGTCACGCAACCCACAATCGTACCCTCTCTCCACCATTCAACACCTGAGAGAACAAGCACATTATTTTACCTCTGTATCTCATTTCTAAAATGAGAGTAATAGAAATAGCTATCTGCTGGGATTTTTAATGAAGATTAAACGAGATCATCCATATAAAGCATTTAGGAGTGGATCTGGCACATATCAAGGGCTGGATGAATGTGCTCCATTAAGATTATGATTATATTGCCTCTGAAATGCTTCTTAGGCTTCAGCAGCAACCTGAGTCTTTCCAGGCACAGCAATAGGCAGTGACAAGCCACAGGGTATAAAGGCAAGTGTGTGTGAGTGGTCAAGTTGGAAGGGGGTAAAAATGCAGCTAGCAAGGCAACAGTTCAGATATTTATTAAGAATGTTTGCTGTAAGATGTTTCTGTACAAGGCTCCAAGACCTGTGTTTGAAATATAATAATGATTTTCAATGGGACATTTAGTAATGTCTGGAGATATTTTGGTCATCACAGGCAGGAGTCGTTATTGCCGTCTAATCAGTGCTCAGGATGCGTCTAAGCATCCTATGATGCACAGGACAGCTCCCATGACAGGATTGTCTACTGTAAAATATCCAGAGTGCCAATGGTGGAACAATCCTAATTTAAAGTGTGAATTATCTTAATAAGATTTGACACACTTTTCAATTTTCCAAGGAGTACTGGTATGAAGATGCTAACACTTGATAGAAGGAAACTACAAGGATTCTAAAAATCTTCCAAAACCGAGGCTTGACCTTGCAGTTGACCCTCATGCTCAAACCTTTCAGCCTTTTCCCCTTTAGCCTATTTACTTTTGTGAAAAATAAATCATAAATTTTAAAAAAAAAGATTAGATACCAAAAGGCAATTATAGGTATCAATAAAAATATTTCTTGAAATCAGGGAAATATTTCAATGCAATCAGAATTTTAGCACTCAGAGAATCCTTAGAAATGATCTAGCAACTGGGTTCTGGTAAAACAGTTTCTCACATGGTATAGGCAAAGAAACAGAAAGGCAAAAAGAGGATCTAGGATACATACAGCTACAACTATCAAAAGGTTGGGTCAAATTCTCCCTATTATTCAACTTTCGAATCAGTGATAATGCGAAAGGACTCCTCTTCATGTGCGTCCTTGGTATTTTTTTCAGTGATGGAAGCCTATATGTGTCACTACCTCTTGAGATCTCCAGTGTTGGGTCTTACTTGATAAATTAACAGCAGTGGAAAAATAAAAATGAAAAAAGATTCAAGAACTAGTGAAAAAAACAAACGGATAAAAAAGGCAGGAAAAAAAACCCACCGCACCTTTTTAATATCTAGTGGCCACTAGTCATTAAGAAGGAGAAAAAATAAAAATTAACTACAGTTCCTAGTGTGGGTGATTTGGAGGATGGTGGTGTTTGGTAGCAGATGGAAAACTCAGGGACATTTTGGACTAGCAGGCTGCTTAGCGTGGACTTTGGGAGCTATTTATCAGCTCATAATGTTGAAGAAAATGATAAGATGAATAGAATCAGGGTACTTTCAAAAATAAGGAAGAAAACACAGTCAGTGTGTTGGGTACACGGCCACTGTGGTCCCTAGAAGGAATGGCAATGGGACTGAAATCCAAAGAACTCAGAAAAACCATTTTCCTCCCAGCCCTGGGACCTCCTTCTGTTGAACAAGAACCAAACTAAATACTCCCCAAAGCTCTCGCCAGCTGCGATATGCTAGGATTCTAGAGTGTAAATGATGATGGCCCTCACACTGTGTGTACAACGATTATAATAAAGATCTTTCTCATATGTAAACAGAAGAGAGGATTTAGAGCAAGAATACCTGGGAAAAATAAATACAGGATTTAAAAACGATCCAAGAATGCTATAAAGCTCATTACTCTTTACCTTTTCTCCCCACATTCAACTATTTCCTAGATAAGAGCTGCTCTTCAGAATTCTACCCACCTTTTTTCCCCTCTGCCTTTTCCCTTGTTTCCAGGTCACCCCATCCATCACCGTCTTCCTTCACTACCTGTGCTTATCTCCCCTGGTCAATGAGACTGAAGTTTCATTCTTGAATCAAGGCAATTACCAACTACTGCATTTCAGGGTCACCCACAGCTTTACGTCCCAGCAGATTCATGTCAGAAACACGAAGACAGGAAAGGAAGGGTTCTATCAGCATCCTGCAGTCAGAACACACCTTCGATTCACGCTAAATGTGTACCCTAACACTTTTTGTTCAATTTACTGAACCAGTCTGGAAATTGAGATTTTTGTGCTATTACTGAATTCTAGGAAGAGGCACTCACATCCCTGACTTCATTTCTAAAGGCTAGCATGTCTATGTATCAACAATCACTTATTCTGAAGGCAGCTAACAGTGTAGAGCCACACACAGAGCAGCAAGTAGAGAGGGGATAAAAATACATCGTAAATTGGGACTGGATTCTGTCAAAGGCAACAGCAGGACGTAGCTAGTTCTGGTAGTGCCTGTGAAAGGTTTATGCAGCACAGCATACCTACACATTTACGGGCAGTTTCACACACAGCCAGTGCTACACTCAAAATACGCATACCTTGTCCCACACACTGGCATGCTCCATGCTTGGTTACACATTCAGAGTAACACACACATACCCAGGCATTCACTGGTTCTCTCTCTCTCTCTCTCTCTCTCTCTCTCTCTCTCTCACACACACACACACACACACACACACACACCCTTGACACACAATCTCTTACAGTCAGTGAAAAGCATGCAGTGGCATGAATACTTTCATACACAAGTGCAAAGTACCACCAGCCTCAAAGCTGCTGGAGTCCCACACAGCCAGCCAACCCACCTACCCACACCCTGAGCTTCCCCATGCAGCACATCCCTGCAGCATATCAGAATTCTGAGCTCCCAAGCCCCCAGCCCATCATGCTGCCCTACTCCCCCTCCCCAATCCCTCCCCACTCCCCAACCAGCACACGTGGGCTGCTGGGGTTCTGACCCTCTTGCGCACTTGCTGCACCTACCAGGAGCAGCAGGAAAGGGAGCGAGGCGACCTGACAGATTGTAGCCGCCACCCCTAGCCGCGGAGCTGAGCTTCTGCTGCCGCGCTGCCGCTGTGCTCCGAGCTGCTGCTTGCGCCCTCCCCGCCGCCCCCTCGGGAGCGGCTCCAGCCCCCGCGTTGCAGGGCTTGAAGCGCGGGACCCCGCTGCGGGTGCAGGGCCCCATCTCTGGCTCACCTGGGCATCCAGTGCATTGTCCTCGTCCCTGGTGGAGCTCAGCCCCGCAGTCTCAACAGCCCCCAACCCGCAAGGTACACTGTCCTGTCCGCGGCCACCCCCACAGGGTACAGCAAACGACCAGGACACAGCCTGGGCAGCTTGGAGCACAGAAGTGGGAAAAGCGGGGCTGAAGACTTACTTCCTCCAGGCTCGCCAGAATGTGCCCTTCCCAGCCATTCAAAGAAGACAAGAGCAAAACCTGGGTCAGCTTCTGGGTGACCTTGGGCAAGTTGGTCAACCTCTCTGAGTGCTGTGGTGTCTGTGCCAGGGAAAATCTATCCTTGTACTTCCTTCTCATGCCTCTGCTTCTGCTAGGGCAGGGCTAGAATGGAAGCAGGGTCCAGAGTCTATTCCCAGCCCCGTGGCTTCCTAGCACTCAGGTTCTACAGAGGCAATGTTCTCCATTGCCTTCGGTTTTCCTAGAGATCTTGCCCACACCTTTCAGTCCACTTTTTGCTTCCCTGGTCAGGCATTCACCTGTTCTCCCAACTCTGACCACCTGTGCCCTTGAGCGCCCAGGTTAGACTAGAGCAGAAACTCAGAGCTCCCATCTGTAATAGCAGAGCAGACATGGTTCTGCTGAGCCTTTCCAGAGCCTTGTGTCACTATGTTGGAGCACTGAGGAGGAACCCTCCAATTCTAAGGATAAAGAGATTCCTGCGTTAAACCGGACATACTGGGAAAGACAGGAGCAAACACTCTTCCTTCTTTACTCAGACATGAAAGGGGGCCAAAGGATGTCCTAGGTGAATAATTCACCCCTCAAGGACCACTGAGGCTTTATGAAAGCCAGATGAAACAGAGACTCTGTCGACTGTGAGCAACATATAGAAGCAAACAGATCTGCCAGGACAAACTTAAAATTAATAACTTAAAATTATGAGCACCACTCAAGTGAACCAGATAATCCAAATTTACCAATCCATGGTAATTCAGATAAGTAAATGTTCCAAACAATCTGTTCTTGGAACACCTTTACTCCTCTCCTCTGTGTCAGTGTTTACAATACCCCCTAGTCCAGAGTACTTCTCCAGTTGATGTCACCTCTGCCATCATCAGTGTCCATTATCTTCTTGGAGCTTTTCATGATCTCTTGCTACTTTGTATTTCACAAAGTGCATCTCATATTCCTAATTTAAATGGTGCTATATAATGACAGGGAAAGGTGCAGAGGATATTAAATCCACAGGTTGAAGCTGCATCTGTCTCTTTGCTCTAAAAACACTGTGCTCACACCTCAAGTCTCACGTGGACACGCTTGCGGTACTGCCTGTGAGTTATTTAAAGGTCTGCATGGTCCATTAGATTGGGAGTGTCTCAGCAATAAAGTCTAGGTAATATTTCCCTTTTTAGACCACAAGCCACTAGACCATGCCAAACACACAGCTTTTTGAATAAATTAATGAAAAGAGCAGGTGCAATGTCTGGTTCCAATGAAGAGACAGAGCTGTTATTAATTTTTCTTGAACCATCTGTTTCTATTTGTTTGGGCAGGTTGTTAAAGCACCTCAGTCAATGCAATGTGGTTTTAAGTGGGACTGCTTTAATACATACCTATTTTTGTCTGTTTAGTTTTGCTTTTACTGAAAATAGCCAAAATTAAAGGATTATCCTATAACTCAATTTTTACAACTGCTTTCTTTGTCTACTTTTTAGAAATGTTTTGTTGAGTCAAAGCATTATAAACATGCAAATTCTTTGACCCAATAATTCTAGTTTTTGAAAGGTATGGGCAATAAGCCTGCATATACAGGGATTTACTGAGAAATTGTTCATGCAAGACATGAGTGAATAAATTATTAGCATGCAAATATCAATAAAGGATTAGTCAAATCAGTGGTATTCTGTCCCCCATGCCACACTGCTCAGATATTAAACACAATTTTGTCAACTAATATTTAGTATCTAAAATGTTTATAGATGTTTACATTCATTTTAATAACTATCTGAACTTTCCAAATAACAAACACATAAATTAAAGTTAGCTTCAATGATTTTTTAAAGACTTGTTTACTTTTACTGGAAAGTCAGATTTTACAGAAACAAGGAGAGACAGAGAAAGATCTTCCATTTTCTGGTTTACTTCCCAAGGGGCCTCAATGGCAGAAACTGAGCTGAACCAAAGCCAAGAACCAGGAGCTTCTTCCAGGTCTCCCATGTGAGTACAGGGTCCCAAGGTTTTGGGCCATCCTCCACTGCTTTCCCAGGCCACAAACAGGGAGCTGAATAGGAAGTAAAACAGCCAGGGTCTGAACTGGCAACCATATGGGATCTTGGCACATGCAAAGTGAGGTCTTTAGCTGCTAGGCTTCCGTGCCAGGCCCAGTTTTAATGATTTTTTAAAGAAAAGCTTTGTCTCCAAAAAATACTGTTTCAAGAAAACCATTTTAGATGAACTTTAGTTTTCTGATTAAGACAAAGGAAAGGAAAAGTCCCAGATAATATAATCAAGGCCTAACTTCTTCCTGTTAATTCATCCATTCTAAAAATATTTATTATACTGTCTCAATTAGGTCTTTGATAGCAAACAGAAACACTCCACTAGCTAAGAAAAGGAAATGACTGGAATGATTTAGTAGAGCTTACAGAATCCCTGAGATGCTTGGGATCTGGCTTGGAGAAGCACCCGGAGAGCTCCAGGAATCAAAAACCAAAAAATGCCACAACTGGGTCACAAACTCAGCTAGGCTGCCACACCCTCATTACTCAATTGGCAAATAGCATCCAGCAATTCTCCATTTCTGTTTGGGTCACTTACCTGAGTTCAAAGTCCTTGGGGAACACATCAAATGGACAAGGTAAACCGTGTCTTACTCTTCTCTCATTCTGAATTACAGGGTGAGGAGTGAAAGAACTTTGTCCTACCAACAAGACTACACACTGGTGGGGGATATTTTATCACCCCAGTATATCCACGGTGCCCTTGGGAAGTTAAAATGGAAGCTGGCAGCGTGAGAATCCTCATTTCCCACTTTAGGTAGGTCCTGTCATGTGTCAAAGAGCTTGCTACTCAGGCCTCCAGATGCAGCTTCTCAGCCAATCTTCTAGGACGATTAGCTGAAACTTCAGGCCACAAAAACCTCTCAAAACACAACAGCATTCTCTGAATTCTAGGATTTCCTTTTTCAGTTTGAACATGTTCATGTTTCCTATTGCTAGTTTCTTCCATCCTACTGAAACAACCCTAACCCTAACTCTAATACTATTTTCCTGCTCTGGTTCTCTACACTTTGCTCATCTGATACAAATACCCCTTTGTGTTCTTACCACACAGCAGCCTGGCAAACAGACTGAAACATGTTATCTGCATCACACTACAGGGGTTATCTAGAAGTCACAAAATTTGTTTGAAGTTAATTTTATTTTGGGTGCCTTAGTTACAGAATATGGAGGAGGGAGAGGGAGAGACAGAGGGGAGTAGAGAGGAGGAAGGAAAAAAGAAAATGGAAATTAAGTCCAAATCTAAATTATTGAAACAAATCAATGCTTCTCTTGAACTCACAAACTTCAAGTCTGCATACCATCCAACCACTTAAGAGCTGCTAAAAATTGAAACAGTTGGACAAAGAATTTTAATGCAGCTGCACAGGAATGGAAGTAAAACTGTGAACACCTTTCCAGTTACAAAGCCAAGGAAGCTGGCTGTATCTTGATCAACCACACAGAATAAACAAGATCCCAGAGCCAGGCGCTGTATCACATGTGGACACATAAAGCATTTCAGTTTACAGATAACCATTCCATGTCAGGAGACAAATTCTAGCAGTGCCTCCTCCAAATGATTGTAGATGCAGAAACTTCTGCATTAGGAATTTTTTACCAGAGTCAAATCTACTACAGTGGGCCAAGTTTATCCTTATTTTGCTGCATGTTCTCAAGTGTAAGGTTAACTCGTACTTCCCCAAACGCAGAACAGACTAAAAGGAGCATCTTATTGTTCAGACTTCAACTCAGCTTTCAGGAGCTCAAATTCTGCACTCTCCTTTCTTTCCTACCCTCACAGTACTCTTCTCTCCTTTGCTGCTTAACATATGGTAGACTTTAGGTTCCTGGCTTCACACATCTGTTTCTGACCTCAACACTTTTGCATGTACTGTTTTTCAACCTGAAATGCCTTCTCCTCTGACTCAGCTTAACTATTCCCCTTTTTTCCCAGGGAGCTTTCTCAACGACCAGTGATCCCCTGCCTGCCGTGTTTTGGCTGTTCCAGCACACACTTTGTGTCACTTATAGTCCTTTCACTTGGTAACTAATTTATTAATTTATTTTTCACTGATTCTCTGCCTCCCTTCCTAAAAACAAGCTGCTAGTGGTTTGAGATGATTCTTGGCTTGGAGAAGACATTCAGTAAGAGTCAAATGGATAGAAAAACAAATGAACACATGAATAGAATTTTTTTCTCTCAGAATATCTGATCTCTCCAGAGGATCAGAGTTGCTCAAGATTCAAGGACACTTGCATGCCAAAGGAAACAGCATTCATGTGTATAAAAAGATAAAATCTCATTGCTGAGAGACAATGTAACTTGGGGAGAAATATCCATAGGGCAGGAGGGGCTATAAAACTGAAGTGGTGGTCCAGACTCGGTGATGTCACATTTCTGTAAATGAAGAATGGATGAGAAACCAGATCATAAGAGAGATTTGGAGCTACCTCTAACTCTGAAACAGCTACCCAGAAGCCAGTCTACTCCATAAGGAATTAGAAGGCTTGAGCAGGAGAGTATGAAACCACATTCAAGATAGAGTACACTTAATAATTCACCATCCATCAATGTCTGTATTAACCTGTTTGAACACAGAAGAGCCTACTGCCTGAAGCAGCAAATACAGGCAG